AACCCAAGCATACTCATCCAATCTGACTGCTGCAGCAAAGGTAACTCAGGCAGTCTCAGCAATCCATTCACCCTTCTTTAAAAAAAAGGCCGGCGTCTTGGCAATTAAAGCATTATCCACATTCCCTTATATTATGGAGCTAGATTGAGATGCCTACGGTGTACTAAAAATTCATTAAGCTCTGTATTTATTCAGAAGTTTCTTTTGATGCAAAACTCATTTTCTTACCAATGAATATTAAAGGCCATCACATATATTGCTCTATATTTAGGTCATCTATAAAGTAACCCTCTAGTTTTGTTTTAAACACAATCAGAAAAACAGAAAATATTTCTGAAGAGAACTTGGAAGCCTTCTAAATACTGGCCAAGTTACTCCACTTGGCTAAAACCAGAACAGAGCCTGAATTACCTGACATACCATCTGCTTCTCTTTCTATTAATAACATAACTGATACAGAAAACAGTATTTGTGTGCACACTCACATGCATATGTATACTTTTACATGAAGCAAGCCTACAGTATTTTTCTCTACACAGTACTTTAAATATTACATTTAATCAGGGGAAAAAAAAAAAAAACAAAATAATTTTTTCCTCGTTATAAACAATGCATTTACAACAAGATGATGTTTATGAAAGTCAAACTGGACAGTGGTGTGAGAAGCAAAAACCAAAAAATTCAAAACCTGCAAAAGTATTGATATTATTGTGAAAGTTATATATACAATAAACTACGTTGTTATGTAAACATTATCAATGAACAGAAATACTGTTTTAAAACTAATCTGGGAGACCTGTAGGAATTGAGGTAGAACCAAGAACTAGTGATCATGGTGTTTAACCGAGTTTTTTTCTTGATGTTGCAATGAAAGCATATGGAAGAAGCGGCCTATGCTGGCTGTTTCAGGAACCACCATTAAAGCGCGGGGGGGGGGAAACAAAATCCCTTAAAGTCACTGAAGAATCCACATGGCCAATGTTTTTCTTAATTTTTTTTCTTACTGTCTTGTGTTTCACCAACAATTATGGAATCTGCAAATTTTAGGAGCAAAATGAATCCCCATTTTCCTCTGTTATGGTGCCTGGAAGGACGAGATAAAGTTCTCTACAGAGAACTCTTGTGAAAATAAGATCTTACACCTTTCAACTCCTACAATAAACACTTTATTAGGTTAGTTCAAATCTTTATTTTCAGGAAGATGTGGGATCCTCATGACACTGTTCTGTTCTGTCTAAAACTAAGAATAGTTTTTGTTAAAGACAGTTAAGGAGAACCCATCAAAATATTTGAACAATTTTAATTGAAAGAGCAAATTTTCCTTTAACTTACCTGAATTATAAAAATAAAAGGTAAAATTTTAATGTATAAAGTCTTTCCTCATAACTTTCCTCATAACAGTTTTTTCTAACTGAGCCACATGGTAAATAAAATTAGCTTTTACAAAGGTGGTGGTAAAATAATGCTAGTGTTTTCAAACAGCTGAGAATTTTATGTCCTTTTTCAACAGTATTTTTCTAAAAGAAAAAGATAATCCCAATTACAGAATTCAAACTGAGATTCTGCAGACTTTTTCCAATCACTCTGAAACCAAATTTAGACAAATTCCTGCAAGCACAGCCACAAAAAAAAAAAAAAAAAAAAACCAAAAACATGCTACTCAGTATTTTAGATACATGAAAGACATCAAAATGTTGTCAAGTAAGGAGCATAGCTCCAAACTGTAATCATGCTAAAGCAGTTGCAGTTTAATTTCCAGAGAACATAAAACACTGCAGACTTAAGACATTTCCAGTCCCAAGGCCCGGATGACCAGAGGAGTGGGCAGAGCGAGCCGCAGACAGAACAGGTGGACACCTCAGAGTTGAGCTGAGATGGTGAAAGCTGGGGTGAGTGATGCAGATCATTAAGGCAAATTAAGCACCACGTTATCAATATCACACAACATTTATAACTGAAAAAGGAGGAAGAATACTTAACAATATGAGGAGAAGGAATGAATAAACTGAAAGCTGAGGCGACAATTTTGGTCCAACTTACTAGCTTTAGTACCAGAGTCACCAGCTGCCTTTGCTGCAATTCAGATTGCCAACAGTGGAGAGAGAGGGGAAAAAAGAGGCACAAGCATTGGAGGGAAAAATCAAACCAGAATCTTCATACATTTGAAGTAACCAGAATTTCCAAAAGAAAGCTTTCTAAAGTTTTGACAAAATTCAGTAATATTTTTACATAGTCTTGTAGAAGAGCAGCAAGAAGCTGAGTTGTTCTTTTCTATTGAGCTCTACGCAACAATCACACCTCTAGTGTTCACTGTGCTGCGTTTGTGGCAAATAAACACGACGTTTTCGTCTGGCATGAAGAAAGTAACAATTTGAGAACGTAGAAAGCACGCGATGATTGGAAAGCTACATGGACATTACAATTGGCAGTGGTACTTCAACTAATAATGAAGGTAAAAGGATGACAAGTTATAGGTTGATGTCTAAAAACTGGTCTGTTTTTCTTCCCCCCATCCAAACATGAGACCAGCACGTGAAATTGCAAGTTAGCGAAGATTTACTATAAACCTTAAAAAAGTTAACTTGACACAAAGCCTGAAGTAGCAGCTCCACATGCTATCGGGAAGGCAATGACATTTTTATACAAGGCAATTACGAACAAGATTATCATGGCTCAATTAGCTTGTCTCAATTTTTTAGGAGTGTGTGAATTTCTTGATTTTGAGGTTTTCATGTGAGAGCTATTTGCTCTCTAAGTGTTATTTTGCACAAAAGAGATAAGAGAATTTTTATTTTCACGAAGAGTTTACTTTCTAAGTGAGATGTCCTAATTAGCTGTATTGCACAAGAAAATCTTAATATGCTGTCAGACCACTTGATGAATACATTTTTTTAAAAGAATCACATTAAGCTGGATGTCATTGAGAAAAATTACATGGAAGGCTTAGGAGGAAAGCACAGAAAGAAGGGTTTTGTGGCAAAGGTTACTTTTAGCCGAGGCATGCTACTGAATTATTCCAGGCCCTTTCTACAATTTACCAGGAAAAAAACAAAATGTTCCTTTAGGAGGGTGCATTAGAGAACCTAAAATGTAAATTATTATCAAGAGGATTTCCTTATCAATTGCTAAGCACTCCTCGAACAACAAGGAGTGTCTGAAGGCATGCTGTCCACATGCACATCCACAGCCTGTGATTTGCCTCTACACAATTTGTCAAGCCCAACTTTTTTTTTTTTTAATATCCTAGAACTACCTGCGCTGGCATTCATGTTACTTTCATATATTCACGAACACTGTACAAGCAGGCTTAGTGTGCCTTTGCCTCCTCAGTTCTTTTAAAACCCAGACAGGCAGGATTATATCATACAGGACTCGTATTTAATAAGGAGGGCGACTGCACTGTGAAAATGTCTAGGGACAGGGTATCTCAAACAATGCTCAGTCCCTGGAAAGTTACCTTGCTTTTTCCCCTAAGAAATTCTTCCTTCATAACTCCAAGCTTTATAACAAACTTTACTTGAAGGAGGCTGGCAA